ACTCAATTTACATCGCACCTTAATCCGTCCGTCTGGAAAGCGGAGGTCGAGACGGAAAGAGCTTCCAAACACCCCCACCCCGCCCCCCTCAGCCCAGCTATCTCGACCATAACACCTCCCTGCATCCCAAGCATCTCTCTCTCTCTCTACCAGTAGCGTTAATTTAATGAACGCTAAATCCTGCCCATCGCTGGAATTCACGGAGACGGGGATAATACTTGTGAGCGGATTTTAATCTTATCCCGCACCACCGGGGCACACTGGATGTGATGAAGGCGCACTGCAAATTGGAACGCCGCGGTGCGTTTGGTTACATGCAGGCACATTGAAAAATATGTGCTGCTGCATCAGTCATCGACTCGATGGCAGGTCGTTGGCCCGAACTCACTCGGTCTCGTTCAAACTTGAGCTTTCTTCATATTCTACGAGAAGTCGCGAGACCTACTGGTCTCTTACCTGTCTCGTGGCCTCCATCCCATCATCCTACCAAGATTATATTTTTCATCCAACCGTTGCTTCTGAGAACCGTGTCCAATCTAAATCTTTGGCCTTGTCCAAGTTGTGCAGATTTGACCCTTGCCTCCCTCCCTGAGCCTGCATTTAGAACTTGATGACTCTTTCGTTCTTCGCGCCCGTGTTCTCGCCTGCGTTTATTGTATGTTTGTGTGTGTGTCCGTAAGGTGTCTGTCCGTGGCGTATAATAATCAGCCAAAGTTAATGAAGTGTTGAGCGAAGCAAGTCAGATTTTAAAAATATATATATATATATAAATACTATATTCTTGGTTATTTCTACGTGACTTTACCAAAAGAACCAAGACTATGAATCCCTGCAGTCACGAAAGCTTTAAATTAAAAAATATATATATAAATACTGTTTACATATCACCACTGAATTGAAAGGACTCTGGAAAAATGAACTGTTTGGTTTCATCAGCGTCAACATTGTCAAACCTGTGTTTGTCTTTGACATCCACTACAACTCTAAGACACACACGCGAGCACTGCATATCACTCCTCCTCTTTCCATGAAGTTCTTTTGGGCTTTTTAGAAGGAGTAAATCGATTTTCTCAAGAGAAAAAAAAATAGTAATCAACTACCCATCACAGAATTCACGTACTCGAAATCGAATTTTATTTACGCTCGAGCAAAGGGGGGGACGCCACTGATCGGTAGGGCACGCGCGAGTGGCCGCACCGCACAGCGTTTTCCAAATGAGGTTGTGGCACCAGCGGGCACGGCTCGTCGGATGCTGTGTGGGTCGTTTGCAGTGAGCAAAGGGGGCCCTGGACCTGTTAGAATAAACTCCCGATTACACTGGTCAACAAAAAAAAAATTCTGGCCTGGACTTTTGCAGATGTTTTAGACTAATTTCAGGGTGCCGATTCCAAATCTGATCTCAGATTTGCTCCATCAAATCTCATTTTTATGCTATCGGCATACCCCATTTTCATTGATTTTACCAGAAATTAACTCTGTCACTTATGATTGCAAGTTGTTGCAAGTCGGTGCCTGCTTTAGTGTTAAAATATGGTGCTGTATTTTTAGGATAGTGTGTGTATAATATCATTTTATGTAGATATCCACATTTATTTAATATTTTTCTTCTGCAGTTTTTATTGAAAATGCAATATTTGATATCTCAAACCTTACAACCGTTGAAATACCTTATGCCAGAAAAAGTGTGACCCGTGTTATTTTTTTTTATACGGAAAACCGTTAATCAATTACATTTTTTGTTACCCCTATCAATGATGGTAAAACAACTCTTCTTTCATATGGCTGATTTGTAGATGCAGAGCGACAACTATAATTTCACCTTCAGGTGGTCAAGCCCAGATAACCGTGTCAGGAGCCAGCGGAATTATATCGCTGCGTCTACACCATATTTATGGATCGGGGGCATTGCGTTTTTAAACGTTGTACGGTCTGTTCTAGATAGCCACAGTCGCACACTACTCGAGAGCTTTTAATTGTGCACCGTCCTGAATTAGAATTCAGACAATTGAGCAATGCAGACTGCTATGATATCATCAGGGCCACGGGAATCTAGACACTTCTTTCTCGTTGAAGGAAAACGAGGGAGAGGATGACCGAGATCGACTGATGGAGTAAAAATAAAAGGAGCCTCAAGAACGGATAAACAAAAATAGTCCAGCTTTGTGTGCTTTAAGCGATGAGTTTACCTGTTCCATACTTCACACTCCTATTGTGTTTTTTGCATTGTTTGTTTATAACGTTCTGACCTGCTCCTCCTAGACATCTGTAAACAAAAAAAAATTTAACCCGTAAAAACAGTTTTTCACTATAAATCCTTTATATGCTTGGCGGCTAGAGTCCTCTCGTCCTCTGGCTTGAGATGGCTGCCACCTATGGGTCAGATGATTGCATGGCACCATTAAGCAATTGGTAATTAAATATAATATTTTTGTCCTAAAAAGTGTAAAGTTATGGAAAAAAAAATTCACGAAAATAAATTGTCACACACAACGAGTCTGTGTGCAAAATATCAGCTCGATTGGATCACGGGAAGTGGGTTAAAAAACGACCGAAAGATTTGCACGGTTGTAAGTAAGCACGCAAGCGAACTTAATATAAAGGATTTAAAAATAGTCCAGCTTTGTGTGCTTTAAGCAATGAGTTTACCTGTCCTATATTTCACACTCCGATTGTGTTTTTGTATTGTTGTTTATAACGTTCTGACCTCCTAGACATCTGTAAACAAAAAAAGGGCTTTATCGCTAATCGTATTCCTCCAGTAGAAATCATTATTCTGATTCCGAGATGGGAAATGACGGTGATGATCGCCAACGGTTGCAGGACTGTTGCTGCTGCCAGAAGTTCGTGCACCCATCGGCCTCCTGGGAGAAGGGGTTGGAGAGGTGAAAAGACGATAAAATGTTTAATGTTTGTCCTCCTTCCGTGCTCAATCCAGTGCTGGTCATGTACATAGTCACTTTTGAATTTCTGGAAGTGTGAATGGGAATTCCCCCACGATGCCGTCCAAAGGGGTCCTTTTTTTCCCCAAACACGTGATGAGCCAGTCGGGGAAAAACGTATTCTGCGTAAATGTTTTTTTTTTCCTTTTATCGGCATGGTGAGAATTTGAGCTCTGGGTATCGATTGTGCGCCCGAGAATTTGGTGCAATCGTTTTGTACGCCGCGCCGTGAACCTGTCGACCTTGCGTGTTCGATTCCCAGCCCGCAGCGAACATCGCTGGCGAGGAGTGAATTTATCCTCTGAACCCCATCACCCAACCCACAATGATCAGCGTGGAAAAGTATTATCAAACAACCCCCATGACCAATATGGCATTTGGAGACCTTCATCCAACATTGGATGAGCAAAGGCATGTACATTTAATATTGTTTTTTGATAAGCCGAGTGTAAATAAATTGGTCAACGTAAAAAAAAATGTTATTTGATAGCATCTCACCCTTGTGCAAGCACATGTGTGCATGCCTGCAATCTTCACTGTTCATCCACGTGAGCGTGCGTTTTGTGTACAGTGACATCATGGGTCGCTGACTGACCAAAGGGTGGCTCTTGCCGCTGCGTGTCTGTCTGTGCTCTCTAACAGCATTTACCCCAACAGTCAGTCTGTTAGTGGCTGTATAGGAGGAGAAATAATAACGATAATGCTTTTTTTTTTTTGCCCCGGAACTCCTCACTCTGTCTCGAGATGCCATTTTTCTTCGGGAAGGGTCCTGCATTGGGATGTTTGGCCATTTCCATTCGTGAATGTTTTGGCATGCGGGAGGATACCGGAAATCCCAGAGAAACCCCAAGCATACAAGGGGATAGCGATCCAAGCTCTACACACATTCACGAAACCATTTACTGTTCTTTCGCCTTCTGTGGGATGCGTGCCTGACACAATAGTGCTTGTGGTTCATTCCTTGTCTATGTGATTGGCACATGCTCTCTGAGCCTGTCCTGGGCCTCCGCTCCCGCAACTCCACAATCGCCTGATGGGGGTATCGGCACTGGGGAGACGAAAGTGACCTCCCTGCCCTTTCACGTGATGTGCCAGCTGTGATCGGCGCTCGCGGACAGCACTTTCCCCTGCGGTCTGCAATGCTAATTGAGAGATCTTTGGCGTGCGTGTGTGTGTACACGTGCGTATGCATGCGTTTTTATCTGTTTTTGTGGGGAGCGGTGATGCAGAAGTTACCGCACTGCGTTATGAACCACGATGCCTGGGTTCGGTTCCTGCCCCACGGTTGATATCAGGAGCTTTGTGGTATCTGACTTAGTTTCTAGGTACTAGGCCTCAAGTAGGTCTACCCAACGTAATATAAACACTGCATCTTCCAGATTATAGGAAATACTTATTCCCCCTGTATTTAAAAAAAAAATGGGATACGTCTAATATATCCGGTAGGCATGTGTGTGTGCGTGAGAAACCAGATTTGTATAATCCTATTGACGGGGGCCACAGGTTTGGTGTGTCTTCTTATAATCTGGAGAATATGGTAACTGTTAGATTATTTGGCTGCTATAAATTTCCACGTGATAAACCACTTCGTTTAACTATCATTTGTGGCAGGGTCGCTTCTGAAAAATAAGCTAATAGCTCAGTGGCTTTTACCTGCGAACATGTCAAAAAAATTTAATTCATTAATGGTTTGCTTACTTTTCCTATACTTTGCACTCCTTTCGTGGATTTGTATTGTATGTTGTAACTTTCTGACCTGCCCCCCCCCCCCACATCCTACACCACACTAGCATATTATGCCAATAAACAGCACTTGCGCAAACAGAACTGTCTAGGCTACATGTCTGTGGGTTGTGGGGGGGGTTATCGTCGTTGTGTGCATGTGTACGCATCAGACCTGGTGGGGTGAATTGCAATTGTGCCATTCGATTTGAATTGCAATCGCAGTGTAATTCTACTCGGCAAACTGCTGCTGCTGTGATTGTAACTAACTGTAATTGACCCCGGGGTCTGCGCGTGCTCTCTCTTCCCCCCCGCCACCTTGCGCAACGCACACGGCAGGAGGAGAACGTGGATTGGTTCCCGCGCATGCGCGCCATGTCGCTGGTGAGCTCCGAGGGCGAGGGCGAGCAGAACGAGATGCGCGTGCTGCAGGAGAAGCTGGAGATGACGGCGCGACTCGTCTCGGGACTCTGCAGCCAATTGTCCGAGCTCAAGGAACAGGTGTTTTATTTTATTTTTTTGTCGCGGTTTTATAAATTTTCATTGGCCACCGTCGTTATCGTGAACCTATGTTCCGTTCCAACGCCAGGCCCGTCACCATTTGCTCGCGATCCAACGGTCCGCACGTGGCTTCTGCACACGAGCCCTGGCTCCATCACCTTGGTGGACTGCGGAAATAATTGCAATCGTGGTTCTGGGCAATGATCGACCGACTGCCGAAACGAAGGCCGCCTCTGCGAGCCACCGCAATCTGTCGCGGTCCATGCGATACGTAGCAATCCACCCAGCACCTGGACGGGAGCAGATATCATCACTCCATCCATTTCGCGTAAATTTTGGTGGGTGCCCTTCAGTCTTTCGGCTGCCCCCTTGCAATGTTAGACTTGACCACCAGCCATCATTCCCTCTCGTGGCACGTCCCTGCCCCAACCCACTTACGTCAGTATGATACATCCAACTTGGTAATTTATCTAATCCATACATTTCTGTTTCTCTATATCCCACCAAGAATGAATCTCTCCATGCCAAATAAAAAAATAGTTTTATATTATAGCAATCGTGTAACAACTATATTATAGACCCATTGTATTTTAACCTCGTATTCCAATTGTGCCACTGGAGTCATGTTTTTGAGTGTGCCACATGCAGACGTCTACTTCACTGCACAGTGATCAGTGTTGCAAAGACAGACCCCGGAATATGACCCCAATGGCAAGCGTCCTTCTGAAGTCCCTTCAATAGGCCTCATCCACGGTGGATGGCAATTGTTTTTTTATATAGCCTGCCAAGATTATTCATGACAAGATGGGCAAAATGATTTGGTCCTCAGAGCTAGAATTTAGCCAATTTAAGTGGAGGGCGTGGGGGGGGGGGAAGTTATTTGATTGAGTCTTTGTAGTCTCATTCCAGGTTGAGATTGTACTCGCTCTACAGTCGAGAAACATGTTTTAATTAAACAGCTGAAACCTGGATTCAAACCCAGGATCTCTGCTAACCCTCCTGTGCTCTCGGTGTTAACTTGTCATGTAAGGCATCGATTTAAAGTTATGGTCACGGAACATGCATCAAGATGTGCTGAAACAAAACTTTTTGAGTCGTGCAAATATTAGTTTTTCCTCGAGGGGTAATAGTCGGAATGAATGAGGCCGCATAGAAAAAACGATGTAGAAAAATACAAATGTAATTCATGCAGTACAACTGAGTTGAACGACACCAATTAAACCTGTGCAAATCAAACGGATCATGTATGGAGCACAAACGAGAGAGAACAAACAAAAATCGTACGGTACAAATTAGACTGCAACAGAGATGGACAGTACAGATAACAAATCAAATCCACGGGACAGACGGGTACACACATGGCAACCACGCAAAAAAATATTTTTTGCATCCGGTTGTGACCCTGAATCATGGAGGGGTGATTTATTTGACATGCTGTTATCCTGCTGAACCGGTCTAATTTCTTAAATTGTTGCAAATCAGAATAAGGGCGAGCGTGGGGGGGGAGGGGGGTGGCATGAGGTAGAGGAGGGGTTGATGGTGACGAGGGGGGGGGCGGGTACCGTTTTGTGCGTACACTTTGCTGCACGGTCTCTGGACGCGGCAGCAGCACAGCTGTCGAGTACGCAGGCGGTGCAACTGCACAGAGGCCTACGGACCAGAGGGGAGGACCCCAGGGTGCACTGGACTCCAAAGAGGGAGAATTTAACTTGGGGGGGGGGGTGCACCATTATTTAATTCTTTGCACAAGGGGCTCATGCCAACCAAGCTAGGCCACTGGGATGAGCGCCACCGTGATTTACTTTGGCGGCATGAGAGTTTTTCTGCTCGCACCAGCTCCACCACTAGGCACTCTTCTTTCCCCTCTCAATCCTGTCTCTCTCCTCCCCCCCCCCCCCCCCCCCCCCCTAGTCTTGTCTGCTTCTGGCTATGTTCGCACTTGTCGATCCTGATGCGTTTCTCACGTCCAAGGATGTCGACAAAACCAACAAAAATAGCCACTTTTGGCTTCCATAAACACTGAGCTTGTGTGTGTGCGTCTGTCCGATGTAATTGGTATAATTGGTTACCATAGAGTCACGCGAATGTCAAGACTTTGGCTCTGCATTTTGAGCAGGACCGACTAAGATGACTCGTTGTTTTTGCTACTGACGTGGTGCGTGTAAACGCTCTGTTTGTAAAGGCAGCTGGGCTTGAGCAATGCCATGATGTTAATGTGCCTGTCACCAAGTTACTTTTCTTTCGCATGGCCTTGACATGTAAAATTTGACCGTTCAAATTGTGCTCCCGTACGATTTAATACTCCAGTGGCGTTTGTACCAAACCATGCTATTGCCCGGTGCTGGCCCTATACCGACGGCAACCCATCCCGGTCAAAACCCATCATGTAGCCGAGCCTCCATGCTCTCTCCATGCCACCAACATTTGTGCTACCGCTGTTTCGGCAATGAGCAAACCCCATAAATTTGCGGCAATGGCATCCCGATGGAATACTGGTTAGTGAAATAAAGATGGGTTTGAACAGTAAATTGATCTACAGAATACCTAATCTGGGGTAATCATGTGACCAGTTTGGACTGATTGAAAGTTGGCCATGGCAGTTGCCCACTCGCAGACACCGCGGTCAGATTTGGCCATATTTTTGTAACAAATTTATTTATTTTACAATGGAAAAATATCGTTCAGATGATGCCTTAATGCCATCGTGCCCTCAGAAGCTAGGCTGACCACAGAACAACTTTTCAACATCGTTGGATATTCCACAATTTTTGGATGCATGTCGGACACGAGGTGTGGGTGACCCGTTCGTGTGATTGCGAAGTGGTAATGCCAGCGATCCATGCACACTTTCATCGTCACACTCTCTGCAGGATTATCGGTCGCGTCCTGAATGTCTCCATCTGTGCACAAGGTCTCTAACGTCCAAAACAGAAGGACACGCCACAGTGGAAATGAATGTGAACAAGTTAAAACAGTGGGACATCTCAGTTGACAACCATCCACTGTTACTCTTCATTCCCTGCCAAAAACGTATTTCTTCTTGGTTCTTTCGGTAAAGTCACGCAGAAGGGAAATAATAAAATAATAACAATAAAACATAATAAAATACAATTCTCACAACGCTGCTTGCGTTGTGGCCGAAACGTCGTGGGAATTGTATTTAATGTTTTATTGTTATTATTTTATTTCCCTTCTACTTGACCTTACCGAAAGAACCAAGAAGATGAATCCCTGCAGTCATGAAAGCTTTAAATCGAAATTTACTTTTTTTACATTTAGTAAGTTGGTGGATTCCCCGAAACCTCTTATTTTAGCACTTGGCTACGTATGGTGCAAGAAGTTCAACATAGCGCGCGTTTCGTCGCTCTTGGTTGAGTTGGCTTTTCGTCCGTGCCGCGGTGGTGGTGGTGGTGGTGCTGCTGTTGGTGCTGTTGGTGGTGGTGGTGGTGGTGCTGCTGTTGGTGCTGTTGGTGGTGGTGGTGGTGCTGCTGTTGGTGGTGGTGGTGCTGCTGGTGGTGGTGGTGGTGGTGGTGCTGCTGGTGGTGCTGCTGCGTTTCAGTTTTGTGGACGTGCCATACTCTGGACTCTTTCCACAAATCGACCTTTATTAATATTATTCTATTTTCTACACAATTGGCAATTTCCTTGAAAGTGATGCGCCCAATGTGTATTTTTAGGTTTTTGACATTTTGGCAACGGTTGCCTACTTTGTGGAACTTGCCCCCCCTTGGGGGTAAACGCAGAAGCGAGGCTCGGCGCTGTGACGTCACTCGCTTTGCTTCACGCGTGTGGCTGAGAATAGCGATGATTCTTTTTTTAATAAGCCGTGCTAAAACTTCCGTGCCTTTTTTGTGACCCGCCACGGCAAGAGTTAAGACCTCCAAGTTCCGCTGACTTGTTTTCAAGCGAGAATTAAGTGGTTTCGAGATGTACACCCACCTGATTTCGGGACACATTCCACGCGATGTAGGGAACTTTTAATTTAAATGAAGACTGAGAGATTACTGCGTGCGTATGTGTCTTGTGACCTGGTGTATCGGCGGTCAGTCATCTCACTCGGTCAACCCATGGCACCAGGGTCTGTCCCGTGACCTCCTTCCTGCCAGCGGGCGTTTGACACTTCATGTGGCCTACAAGTGCCGTGGTGACGTCACCGCCAGTTAGTGGCGAATGGCGGTGTTGTTGTTGTGACCTGCAAGAGAGCCGACCCTGAAACTGCGATGGAGGTTATGGAGCGGACGCGCATTTCCAGTGACCTAGACCGCGTTAATTCGGTAGCGTCATGCACGTCACATGTTTAGCAATAATCAGGTGCGTGCAGTTTGTAACAAAGGCTCGATTTGTATTTGAATGGAGAAGATGATTAAACATCGAACTTTCAGTTCAGTTTCAAAGGGTGGGCAGTGGTGGAGCGTGAGGGACTGGTGTTTGAGAAGCCCTGAAAGAAATAGCGTAACTGATTCCGTGGTGTACAAAATTCCAGATTATGCCGCGGGAGCAACAGAAATATCCCAAAATACTGGGGAAATGGGGAAAACTATGCAGGTAAAAAATGAAATAAAAATTAATAAAAATAAAATAACAAAAATCACGACGTTTTGGAGGCAACACAAGTCTTCGTCATCAGGTGGGACCATCACAGCCAGATTTGCTGCATCAATTTTAATTTCATTTTTTACCTACGTGACTTTACCGAAAGAACCCATGAGGAAAATCTAGCCGAAAAGAAACCTCCACCTTTTATTTTTCACACACCTCTCCGACCCAGATCCGTAACATCACCATCACTGTTTTTAAGCAAGTCCTTTTTGGGGTGCCTCCGTTGACGGTGTCTCAGGCAAAAGAGAATCCTCTACAGTTGGTTGTCCTGTGTCTGAGAAAATAAAAATCTCCGTTGCAGTAGTGAAACCCTGTGGGAACCGACCCCATCCCACACCTCCGCTTTTAGCACGGTTGGCTACTTACGGAGCGAAAGAAGTTCTATATATGTACGTACAACGTAAGAATAACAATTTGGTAATACCAGTGGTCCGTGTGCACTTTCATCGTCACACTCTGCAGGATTATCGGTTGCGTCCTGAATGTCTCCATCTGTGCACAAGGTCTCTAACGTCCACAGTGGAAATGAATGTGAACAAGGTAAAACAGTGGGACATCTCAGTTGACAACCATCCTCTGTTATTCTTCATTCCCTGCCAAAAACGTATTTGAAAGTTTGCGCCAAATCCTTAAGCCCTTGGGATTGGATGTCAAAACGTCACAGTGCACCGTAGAATGTTGATATTCTTCCGTACGGCAGCATCATCGTCATTATAAATACGCTGAACACTTCACTCCGTGCCTGACCTGAGTGGGCCGAGGCTGAGTAACATTTTTTTTCTTTACTCTGTCCACAAAGTTCAAACCTGTTGTGCAGTTTTCATTCGGTGTAATTACTCCTTAGACCAACTAAAACAAAATTCCCGTATATTTTTTTGCGTGTGCGGGGGAAGATAACATTGTGAATCGTTTTTAGACCAACATTTTCATGTGGAGATGGAGGCTTCACAAAGTACTTGGCCGGCGCCAAATGAAACAAACGCTACAATGTGAGGATGTGGGGCCTGTACCGATGAAAAGAGGATTAAGGGGTTTTTTTTTTTAAACGGTTACTTTGTTTTAATCTCTTTCTTAGTGTGTGTGCGTAAGCATTTTCATTATAGTTCACTGCTGTGTAATAGATAAGAGTCGCTTGTTTTTAAATGAAATTACTCATTTAGGGGGGTAGGGTGGAGAAGGGGGGGGTGGTGATATTTTACAAAGAGGGACAATTAGGCTGTGATATTCTTGGTGACTGTCCTCGACTCTTATTGTCAGGTAAGCGAAACTATCCAACGTTCTTTTATCTCCGTGCAAGAGGAAAAACGACCGTTTTTACTTCAAGTTATGCACGTGTAAGATTGCTTGTTAAGCGGTGACGATGCAATCGCTGTTCCGCAAACAAACTGCAGATTTCGCCTTCCTCGTGTCTGTACACCTAAGTTGTCCTTTACATCGCTGATGGATTTACCAGTGACGGTGAGATTTGAGATGTATAAAGCATTTTCACGTGACCCACATCCATTTATCATTGAGTGCGCCTCACGAGGGGATGATGAGGAGAGGTTTACGTGGGTGAGAGTTGAGAGACTGGGATATAAACAGATGATCTAGACTGAGACCTTTACCAGTGGCAAAATATAGTGCTAGGTTTTTACCCTTTCAACTGGTATAAAAACTGACACCTTTATACAAGGAATCATGTTTGCAATAACCACAACACAAGCAGTCAAAATGCAAACAAAAAGAAACAACTCTGATAATGATAATGATATGCACTGTCTTTGAAGTTGATTGGTCCACACCCGAGACAGCTTTTCTTAGAGCCTAGTCTCCATTGGTGTTGTTGTCTCGGGTGTGGACCAATCAACTTCAAGGACAGTGCATATCATTATCAGAGTTGTTTCTTTTTGTTTGCATTTTGACTGCTTGTGTTGTGGATATTGCAAACATGATCCCTTGTATAAAGGTCTCAGTTTTTGTACCAGTTGAAAGGGTAAAAACCTATCACTAAATGATCTAGAGTCGGGGTAATGTGGCAATAAAGGCCTGTAATCAAGCACTGGAGGCGGTTAGGGTTTGTGGATCGCAATACATGTTGCACTTCTCCCTTCCTCCTTGTGGGCATCGAGTAAGGTGCCAAACCCTGGCTCGCCAGGAGAATGCAGTACAGCAAGTGGACTAATCGCAACAAAACTGACACCTTTTTTTACAAGGAGTCATGTTTGCATAGACCACTACCTGCAGTCATAATGCAAACAAAAACATAACTCTGATAATGTATGCACTGTCCTTGCAGCTGATTGGTCCACACCCGAGACGGCTTTCCTTAGAGCCTAGTCTCACATGGTGTTGGACCAGATGACGCCAAAAGGCGTTACGTTTTTTGTTTGCATTATGACTGCAGGTATTGTGGTCTATGCAAACATGAGTCCTTGTAAAAAAAAGGTGTCGGTTTTGTTGCCAGATAGAAGGGTGAAAAAACCAATTATCATATTTTTACTGGCAAATGAGGTTCCAATGGTGTAATCGCCATCTGTTTCCATCTGTGTGGCGATGGTGTTGCCCCCCCCCCCACCCCCCTCGTGCTTGCGTGGGTTTTCTCAGGGTGCTCCGGTTTCCTTCCACTTGTGTAATGGAGACGTCACGGAAGGAAAATAAAAATTATAAAGCCGAGACAACGGAGGGCGGCGGGCGGTGGGGGGGGAAATGGATTCAGCAGTGCAGGGAGCCAGATGGGGTGAGGGTGTTTTCGACCAGAGGGGCAGCAGCAGAGAAGATTGGAGCTCACTGAGCAGTAGTTGACGGAGTGGTTTAGACCCGAGGCTCTGGTTGCTGGGACACCCACAGAGAGAGAGCACGGGAAGAAGAGCACAGCGGTGCGAGACGAGGATGGAGAGCGAGGGTCCGTGGAGGGTCTTGCGGACGGCGATGATTGGCTTGGGGGGTCGGCCCCTGCAGTCGATCCTTAGGGACTGGTGGCGCGAGAGACTAACGGCGTCGCTCGCCGCTTCCCCGTGTGACCCCCCCCCCCTCCTCCTCTGCCTGCCCGACCCCCGCACGCAGATGACGGAACAAAGGAAAAACAAGCAGAGGCAGGGCCTCCTCTCCAGCAGCCCCCCCCACGGCAACGTCGTGCCGCATCAGGCCGCCACGTGACACTGCACTCGCCCCCACCGCTCCCTCGGCTCTCACCTGCACTCCGCACCAACCACCCACCCCCTATTCGCCCACCCACCTATCTACCAACTTGGCTACCTATCCACCTGCCCATGTGTTCACTGACAAACCCTCTCGCCTATTTGGCAACTAACCTACCTATCTGCCTACCCAGGTGTCCACCGACCCATCTACTCGCGCGCTTACCCAACCCTTCTCAAACACCTTTTCCTTCGTTTCAAAATCTCCCTGCTCATATCGGCGCGCCACTTTTTTTCAAACGGCGGCAGTTTCTTTCGGTGTCATGGCCTCGGAGGTGGCGTTTTTGGTTTCCGTTTTGTTTTTCATCGTCTGCCACATCTAGTTGGAATAATAATATTTATCCATTGTTATTATTCATCCGTGCGGTGTGCTTTTTGGTTTAGTTGCACAGTCTGGAAGCTGTGTTTTTGTAGACGTGGTGACAGAAGTGGTTGGCGATTCGTGTGGGGGGACCACCTGAAGGTCAGTGGCTTAGCACCAGGTTGTAATGCATGTTGATGATTATTTATAAACCGGGCCCTCTGCCTCCTGCTCCCCTCTCCCTGTTTATTCCCCCCCAACAACTTTCTTGCCACCCACCCCCAACCCTATGCAACCACCACCCACGAGCCATATCCCCTTTCCTCCCAGACAGCTACCCCTCCCGCCTCACCCACCCCCACCACAGCCCATGCCAGACATCTGACTACCCCCAACTACCCCGAAAATAAATTTCCCTCCTCTTGCCCCCCCCCCCCACGCCTCCCTCATCCTGCAGTCGTCACGCAGTTCCATCACGTCCCATCCACCCTGCCCATGGCCACCTCCTCCCCACCTCCCAAAAAAACGAAACCAAAAAAAAACCCCACTCGGCTTTCGCCCACAACAGTGAGTCACGCCGCCGCCTCCGCTGCTGCACGTAGGCCCCGCGGGGCGCAGTGGTAGGGAACAAAAAAATCGTAGGAAGTCCCCGCTGTAGAAATTACTGCCGCTCGAGATATATTTTTTTTTTCTCAAGTCATTTTCGGCAATCTTCGGCAAAATTGGGGCCTGCCAGGCTGGCTTCGTGACGTACGCGAGCTGCCACTCCGCGCAACCAATCGCAACAACATCATCATCATCGTTATAACTACCGAGTGCCTTTTGTATCCTTGCCGTTGGTTGTTAACGGTGGGCGTTTTCGTTTTCCATGGCCGCAGATTTATGTCCCTGGACTTTCCGTTTTTGCGGCGGTGGATCCCCGATTGGGTCACCGGATACACTCCGCCGGTTTGGGTTGAGACGGCTGTGGGTGCGCGTGGGCTCGCGTGACCTGCGTACGTACATATGGTATGCTGATACTTCTTTCGCACCGTACGTAGGTAACCGTACTTATCGGAAGGTCTGCGGGGGGGAAGAGGGGGGTGACAATAACCAACAAAGTGGTTGAAGGAAATGTGGTTTTCAATCTAGATTCTGAAAACCTATTTACCCCCACGACGGCTGTGTGCAGTAAAATGGCTTCATTTACTTTTGAAGCAAGCGGCAGGGGGGGGGGGGGAGTTTAGAATAATCCAAAGATCTGCACTTTAATACTTTATTGTGCCGCGTTGTGCCGCAACTGCCAGTCCCAACCAACCGTGTGCTTGCGGGGTTGCTTTTATTTACAATCTGGTGGCCTTTGTTTTAAGCCCATGCTTCATTTTTTGACAGCCGAATTCAAATGCTGTTTAGACGTTGACAGTTACTGTACATGTAGAAGTCGTCAGCTGTGCGTTAGCAATTGGGCTGTACATGTTGCTGCCTCCGTTCGTAAATTATATATTTATACGTGAAATGTCCACGGCCGAGATTAATCGTTGAGAAATGTCGGCGGTGCCTTTTTTGCGAGTTAGACTCGTGTAGAATATATTGGTTTATTTCAGGTCTGTAAATTATGCCATTCTTATGTCAATGTTGGTCTCTGGTATCTGCCTTTTATTATTTTGACGGTTCATGGTTGGGCTTGCTCGTCTTTGTGTGCCAAAGAGATTAAGACAACTGGACTTTCGTCTAAAAAACAGGAACCGCTCAATCGAGTAACCATAATAAGGGTCGTCCATCTACAATACAGCACCCGCACGGCTACACCCAGATGCATGGGCAGGATGCGCAGATGGCTCTAATTCCCAGCAGCACCACTCATCCATTACCGCACGCGTCGCCGCACGTGACAGACGGCCATCGCTTTGATGCATGCACCGTCACTGACCGGGCGCGACAGGATGGTGAGGTGGTCCATCTCATGATTTTTTTAAAGGGGGGGGGGGGGCAGTGGGTTGGTTAGCAGTGGCGTGCATGCGCGGCACGCATGGACACGTGACCGCACGGACCTTTTTCCTCCACCCGCCCACCCACCTCCCCGCCTTCCATGTTGCAATTGCTGCCGTACAGCAATGATAGCCTTTTGGGCAATCGCTGCCCGCGAGAATTTCTCAACGACCCCGTGACCCCAGAATGGCAGCGACGTCGATCGTGCGGTGACTGGAGGGAGGGTGGGGGTGGGTGGGGGGTTGCGTGACAAGTTATCGAGCTGTCGGTCTCGCGGCACGGTGGCTGAAATCCCACGGCCAAAAAAAAATTGCAACACCCACCAATTTGATTCTGGAATATGAACGAACAAAAACTTAACCAATCGGACAATTGATCTTGGGTTTTTGGTTTCCAGATTTTTTTTTTCGAAATGAACAAATGTGAACCCCGCTTATGTTGAAGAAAAGGCAACGAAACTTTTGGAGGGCATGCAGTGGCTTGTAGATTGTGTGTGTTTGTCATTGACAAGGCCATGTGTTTTTTTTTCACATTGCAGGCTCAAAACGGGGTTGTGTGTAATGTAAGAGACCTTGACTTTTCTAAGCACGGCTCATAATTTATGCAACGAGCAACGCCCCCTCCTATTGACGGTGTGCAGCATTTCTCTGGGAATGCGGTGTGTAGCTGTATAAGCATTTTGAACTGGAGTGTGTGGGTGGGCGGGGCGATAGGAATGTAATCCGTGCAATATTTAACATTGCAGTAATTTATGCAGCCTGGCTTATTTACCGGGAGCAACTATTTTTTCGTAGCTCGGACCCAGCAGTCCCCAGCCACGTGGTCAACGGTGCGTTCCCAAGCGCTTCGGGATGTTGTGAACAGTGCCGCCAGCATGTGACACTTAAGGGGGTGATGCGGGTTGATCTTCACTCATTTTCAGATGGGGCGCCACTTTTGCCAAATACGACATCGGAGTGAGGGCCGTCACACATTTGAAACCGTTGGGGTTTGACAGCGCGATGATGGTGTTTTCCACACGTGTGTTTGTCGCGGGCTGCACTAAAGGGCCGCCAGCGGGCCTTGCAATGAAGAACACTGGTGTAACGGATTCGTCGCTCTATAAAATCGATTCTCAAACCCTAAGATGTTTGTCGAATCGTGCTCATTAGAATCGATAATTTTTTATATTTTCCATTCATATACCAGTACGTTTATATGTAATACGTTCCCGTTACCTCCGCTGCTGCTGATGCCTCTACATTCGCAATGTTATATTTACAACAATAACAAAAAAAGCCGCTCTTGAAATGTATTGTGACCCCCCCCCCCCCCCCCGAACCGTGACAATTCATGGCGTCGCAATGTTGTTGCGTGTTCAGTAGTTACAGGGCCACTGGCTCCATCTTCCAAGTCCCCAATGCCTGATTTATGTGGCACTTAACGTGCATGATAATAGTAATATATTTGTACTCGCGGGTCTGTCCACTCTACGGAGAGCACGGTGTAACACTGGTGAGGTATCGAAACGGCAGAAACGCCAAATAAATGAAATGTATATTTTCCGAAATGCCCTTTTTGTTTGTTTTGCTTCTTGCTAACGTCTTTTTTTTATTTCTCAATCAATGTTAGAACCAGGTGAAAAACCCCTGGGAGGTGAAATGGATTTCGTTAGCACTGCAAGGTGCAATTATTGGCACGGTGAAAAGGATTGGCAATATTCCTTTTTTAGGAAGTTGAGATTGCGTTTTTAAATTGCTCGCCTGCTTAAAATAGTTCTCTGCCGCGGTGTTGTGCAAAAAATGTCAGGCCGGGCATTCCAGTGGCACACTAATGTATTTACAGCCTCCTTTCTTCCTCTCCCAACACCTTTCTATGGGAGACGGCCAAATCCACAAACTTCCGGTAGCTGCCATCCATCATTGGTGGTTGATCATCTTCATGTGGCCTGTCTGGTGCTGGTGTCGCTGTGTCATTTCCCCTCCCGAGCGCTGCCTCCATCCACCCGTCCATGTTTTTGTTCCTCATTTGCCCTCTGCCCTCTCTCTTACCTTCCACCAGCATTTCCGTTGCCTTGCTGGGGTTCCTGTTTTCGTGACATTCTTCTCATGTCAACGCACGAGGCCGATGCTTTACAAACTAAATTTGAGGTTTATTTTGATCAAATGGGCACCGCAAAAGCAGTGGCCGTGCGGATGGCAATCCTTAAATTATCCAGTGATGGTACACATTTGACCCAACTGCTTTTTGGCATAGAAGAGTTTATGCCCGAAACGAATAATATTTTACAGCTCTTTGTCAATCCACTGCTGAACGAAGGCCCTCCCCCCCCCATCCCATGTTGACGAGTGGCATTTAACCATACTTCACCGTGCGAGACGGTGCGATTTGGTGGAGTGGGTGCCAAGAACCATTTCAGATATCACCGCTGATGGTTAGCCGGTGTCAGGAGTTGTGCCGAGCTCAAAGCGCAGTGTCTCTTATGAGCTTCGTAATAATACTTATCTGCCGGCATTGGTCACGCTGGGAATGGCAGACACGACATAGAAAATTATCCCGGTATGTTGGGGCCTTTCTAGGGATGACTTTAGCAGCCTTGCGTGCACTAAATGACCCTAATATAAATACTCACGCATCATTTCGGAGAATCGAACCTTTTTCAGCATCGGCGAGTACCCAGGTGCCAGGGAGAATCTCCGGTGCTCTGTTTTGGTTTAGCGACACCAAAGAAGTGGTGATCACTGCTTGGCGTTACCGCAGCAGCGCCTACTCTCGACCCACCGCATGACACCACACCCTCCATCGCCTACGAAATGCAAACATTGCCCTGTGACGGAGATTGTTATGCCCGGCATGTGGCTGCACCCTGGATACTGTTTTTTGTTCAAAGCGATTTTTACAATACAATATGGATTTATAACGTAAACTTTTTATGTTACCAAGTAAGGTCCCCACTGAGCCATCTAACTCGCTTTCAAAAGCGAGGCCTGGCCACACATTATAGCTGCAACGAAGTGGCTTATCACGTGGAAATTTATAGCAGCCAAATGCTCTTCAGCGCGTGCTGTTGCTAAATGTGGAGGGGAAAACCGGAGGACATGGAGAAAAATCCACGCGACCGCGGGAACATGCAAACTCAAACTATACAGGCGTCGGGGTCGAGATTGAACCCACGACCTGTATACCATGCGAGGTACTTTAACATCTCGCCGTCATCCATGATCGATCCACTGCTGGATGAAGGGCTCTCCAAGTCGTTGACTTGCATCTATCACGGTCCCCGCGATCTAACAGCCTAAAAAAATGCACCAAACGCCTACGCCCATCGTGGGTCTGTGGCATCAAAATGCACCTGCACATCGAGACGCACTATGCAACCGCAAATATTTGGCAGATTTTTTTTTTTATCGGGCAGCTCAACACGAAAGTTTCATTTTGTGGTGGATCTGCTTTTTCACGGGGGTTTTCGTCACCCAATGGTGGTGGCTATGCACGTGGCTCTGTAATCGATCACTGTGGAGACAGCGGGGGGGGGGGGCGGGCGTTGGGGGGGGGGGGTGTGGACCCGCCACTTGGCTCCACACGCCTGCGGTGGAGCAACATATTGCGGAAATTGCATGACTCCGACAGCCACTTTGCATTTCGCGTTGAGCTTGCGGCGATCAGCTGATCGGTCGGTCTGAGCTTCGCTTTTGGCAGGAAATATTCTGCCAACCGCCACGAACCCACCCAAATCCTCCGCAGGGCATCCCGTGGCTTTTACCCCCCCCCCCCTCCCACGAACTTTTGCCGGCCTGGGTAAAGCCGCCCCTCCGTTGCTGGAGGCCCATGGCAGAAGCCCTCGAGTCGTGGTTCCTGACGTGTGTCTGGTTTTTTTTTCAAAGGAATGTTTAGTGAAACTGCCACAAGTACAAATAACAAGCAAACAAAAAAATAAGACATTTTCATCCATGGTATTGTGGGCTTAACAGGAAAAGTGTATAATAGGTGACGTTTTGAGGCACCGAGCCCTTCCTCATAGCAAGGCCATTGGGAGTTGTTCTTATGTTGTGTATTTAAAGATTCTCTTATCGGCATCATCGGAATGTCACCTTTGTTTAAATTGAGAAAAAATAGGCAGACTCAAAAAATACCAGGATTTTTTTTTGTTATCTCTGAAATTTTAGCCGGTGTCTGGGCGATTATGTATAAAAACAACCTGGGCCTGGTCTGGACACCGACAACAAACACAGCGGATGGTGCCTCTGGTTTAAGCCCATAACTAAATACAATATGCTACGTTTTATACGTCACCTGATTTGAATGTCTGCATGCCATTTTAGGCTGATCTACCAGTAAAAAAAGAGTTGCTGCCAGTGTTTGCTTTTGGCAGCCCGCGAGAATGTGAACATGGCGCCGCAGCCATACATTTATATCGCGTAAATTCCACAACCCAAACACTGGCAGGCTATGGGTGGCAACTGCTTGTAAAAAGTGGGATGTTTCCCAGTGGCTCCTGATGATCATTACGGTAATGCGGAACACTTGTGGACATGTGCTCGTACCCACCCCGTCGCCACCGTGTACAGTCTGACAAATCAATGGGTCCTGATCGCTTCGTCGGACATGTAGACCCCGTGGTATCGTTGTCAAGAGCAGAACGAGCAGCCTATACTTTGCTTATGTCACGGCCTCAATATGAAATATTACAATTGTCCACAAACTGTAAAGGCTTGAAATGCGACCTGAGTTTGTGTTTTCCCCTCCTGTAAATACTTTTACAGTTTGTGGGATTTCTAAACCTAACGGGCCCAGCTTTTTTAATTCACCCCTTACTTCATGATGTTCTGTTGTCCACTCCCACGAGTTCACTCTGTTACGAAAACATAACAAACTTCTTCGTAAAGTGATATTGTAATCCAATTTAATCAGAGCCCAAGTCCAAAATGTACGTTTTGGTAATTCTCTTGTGATTGTGGCGCGAGACCAATTGAGAACTCCGTAGCGATGCCCCATGCAAAATTGGATTCAATGTTCCTGAAGAATTGGCCGGTCTGATGGAAGGTTTCAAATCCTCGTTGAGGTTGACTCAGCCCATCGTCCTTCGGGCGGTCAATTAAATAAGTACGGACAGCCCTTGACTTACGAACATTATGCTTTGTTTTTTTCGGTAAAGTCACGTATAAAGATAAAATAATAAATTAAATAATAGCATACGACGTTTCGATTGCAACACAAGCAATCATCATCAGGTATAATGAAATAGCGACATAGAATCTAACCAGAAAACTATAGACAGACATATAAGCAGACAGATATCACCAAGATACATAGAGAGAGTAACACAGGTACAGAGAGGGGTGATCGTCTCTGTGGGGTGGCCTTAAATAGACAGAGGGGGGGCGGAGGCAGAGAGAGGGAGGGGGTAGGGAAAAAATTGACATGTCAATGAGTACGAAGGGAGGGGAGTAAAGTAAGCAGGCTTAGAGTTTTCTGGTTAGATTCTATGTCGCTATTTCATTTATACCTGATGATGATTGCTTGTGTTGCAATCGAAATGTCGTATGCTATTATTTAATTTATTATTTTATCTTTATACGTGACTTTACCGAAAAAACCAAAGAATAATTCCTGCAGTCACGAAAGCTCCAAAATTAAGATTTACGAACATTATTCGTTTCTGGGACCTTGTTCGTAAGTCCGAGCAGTAAACTACCGTATATGTAACTGCCCACACGTGCACAAGCACGAGGCACATTGATTACATCTCGCGGTTCAATTTGCAAGTGAGAGTTTGCGTTTTAAGTCCATGTTTAAAAACAAATCCTTCATGGAAGCTGGTTCGTAAGTGCTGGCGTTCGTAAGTCGCGGACTACCTGGACTCACGTGGGGGAATGCCAGGAGTGGTTGCGCTCTGGATAAACTCGCCCCCTGCCATAGGAATGTGTAATTTCCACCGCAGGCTCTCAAGGCCGTAAACAGGAGATGAGCACGAATGCCTGAATGCTCATTTGAGTAGGAAATAACCTTTCGTCCTTGATAATTATCGATGTGCGTGATGCGGTAGGTGAGACGCATTGCAGAAGCTGATTTTCCCCTTCAACAAGAGCCCGTTTCCGTCATGTGCCAAACTGCCGTGGGGTAACCACTTGGCACACACGCACAGACGTACAGCGACGAGCTCATGGGCGATTAACGAAGCTATTATTATTAACGATGCCCGCCCATTGTTATTTCCTTTGCTTAATATCAAGAAAGGGCGCTTTACACACATAATCCATCGTTGCGTAACGTTAACACGCGCACAGCATCGACATCACTGCGCCCGTGTCAGGCTAAGGGGTGTCGTTTGACGTCACGTAGTTTGTGCGGGGAGGGAGATGTCCATGAATTACACTGGTCAACACACTTTTTCTGGCATAAGGTATTCCAACGGTTTTAAGGTAATTGTGGGGTGCTGATTCCAAATCTGGCATCAGTTTTTGTCTATCACGTCAGGTTTTTTTAGATCAAATATTGCATTTTCAATCAAAACTGCAGAATAAAAATATTAAATAAATGTGGATATCTACATAAAATGATATT